TAATTACGTGGTAATAAAACGTACGTGCATACATGTAATAGGCGACAATATATATTATTTACGTTACGGCGCTTTAACATAGAACACTTATAGGCTGGGCTACATCTGACAATTATGTGTTAAAAAAAACAAAAAACAAAAAACAAAAAAACAAACAAAACAAAAAAAACACTCGCCATAGACTTGCTGTAATAAAGTGTGAGACTCACCTCGACGGCTCGAAACCAAAACACCGGCTAACAAAGGCACATTTACGCATTTATAAGAGCTGGATGATGTTTCTCCAAAAGCTCGGTAGCTGTTAACAGTTTTAGATGTTCCTACATGACCGATGCAAGATTGTGTCCTTGTACTTCTCAAGAAAGACTCTTCTAACTCATAGCTGTGTAAAAACATGCGACCTCTCCCGGCAAAAACAAACTCCAGGAGGAGAACAAAAGTTGATGTGCATTGAGTTTCACGTCACGTGTTCCAGCTGGGAATGTCTCTGGAAGGGAAAAGCCTTTGTTAGACCCAGCAACCATGTTAATCAGAGAAGAACATGAAAGAACCGGAAAGACAGTGGAAAACTATGGAGGACAAATAATAAAAAAAAAAAAATTAAAGTAAATGATCTGATGGGCTCAATTTTCACTTTAAACCTCAGTTGTTTTATTAAAGTAAAGAAAACAGAGCAAAATCTACTAAAATATCATGTTAAATGTAGCTACTATGTTAATTGTCATTTCCAGTCAAAAGCAAAATTGGCCTTTTTTCTGGATAAATAAATAAATAAATACATTTATCAACTGATTTCAGTGTTTTGTACGTGGTGTACAAAAAGTTCCATCTCTAGTTATTAAAAATCTCGATAGTTAGACTTATAAATTTTTTTTTTTTTTTTTTTAATAAGGAATTGTCAAAGCTCCAGCTGGGTTTTTATTCTTGGATAAGAATTGTGAAGATATAATTTAATTTTAAAATAAAATTAAAGAAAGTTTTCTTATAGTGGAAAAAGCATTTTCTGTGATTGACCCGAAGATAACTAATGGATCCTTTGGTAATACATACGATATGGTGCAGTGCACTGCAAATAAATAAGATAAAGTGAGAAGTAATAGTAAATAGTTTAGTCAATGAAATAAACAAACAATACATGGCAAATAAAATAGTAATGAATAGTTTAATTATATAATATCATAAGTACATATTGATGATAGCAAATATTGATAATAGCATATAGTTTATGTATAATACTATAATAATAGCAATGGAATTAGAAATATCAATTATAGTATATAGACAATAAAAAATAATTTAAATAGTGACTATGAATACAATCATTTAACAGCAAAGCTGTAATAGATTGATAATTGCAAGTGGTATAGTTTTACAATAATAATAACAGCAAATACAATGTAATATCAATTGCAGAATAATACAATTTGAAAAAAATATGAAAATGATAATATTGATCATTAAACTGACATTTAACAAAAAGATATGAGTAATTTTATTTTATATAGGCCCAAATGTCACAACCCCGTCTCTTTTTGTGAGACCGAAGATGTCTGTATGACAGAAGGCCTGTTTGATACACACGACCATATCTTTAACCAAGAGACTAGAGAAGCACTAGCCGAGGAAAGGCTGTTTCAGGGGGTACATGAGTGCTGAGCCCCGGGTGAAAGCCTGAAACTCACAACTCCGAAAACGTCAGATCAAATTTTTAAATAGGTGCTATCTTTATAAATAAACCACAGATTTGAGCTTTAAACAACTACATTGTCGACAGAAAAACTCTTAAAACTACAAGACAATAACGCTAATATTTTTAAATTTCACAGCCTTGAAAAACACACCACACCAGCTTCCTTTAACTTCGGAGTTTCCGCTACCATATCAACCGTCCTCCCCCATTGGTTAGCTGTTCGAAACGTCACAACACTACAAGGATTCTGGGTAATATCCTATTGCAAACTGCGGTCTGATGCGCACTTGTGAAAGGGGTGCATTAAGTGCCCTTATGCCCCTAAGCACCCCTGGAGAACACTATTAGAGGATCAGGACACCCAGCGGTCTTGCAACCCTTAGCGAGAACACGCATGATTCAATGACAAATACGTTTTTTCAAGTAACTTGACGCCATCTGGTGGTGTATTGGCGTAAATTATACGATTGCCATTTTAAGCATCATGTTGCTTTCAAAAGGGGTCTTATTTATACATCAGTTTTTATATCTGAATTATAAACTTCTATCCCACTTCAGTGATAATATGAATATGTGTAACAAAGAGATAAAGAAGTTTGAAAAGACTGTGTTTGTGAAGCGGTTTCATACCTTTGACAAAGTCTGGGTCAGCAAGCAGCACATTCGCAGATTTGAATGTTCCGGTGTGATTTTTGTGAAAAAAAGGTTTAATACACATCACACAGTTAAATCGTTGTCATTTAGGAATGAGATCACGTTGGTATATGAATCAAGGTCTGCCCTATAACCCAAATTAACAAAAGATGAGATAGGCCAGGGTTGTCACAACATGAACCATTTGAAAGATCTGCAACTCTTCTTTAATGTTGCTGTAGGCCTTTTGACAGCCTATCCTCCCTTCTTTGTCTTCTCATCAATTTGGAGGGACATGCTGTTCTTGATAATGTCACTGTACTTTCTTTGTTGACTGTCTTCAATGTGTTCCATGGCATATCTAATGCCTTAGAAAAAGTTATTTATAGCCCTTACCTGAGTGAAACTTTTCAACAATGAGGTCCTGGTCAGTGATTTGTAAACTTTCCGTGGTCATTGGTTCTTGTAATAGCATGCAACCAAGATGCTTTTTATTTGGAGTTAATCAAAGTCAATTCAGGTGAAGGCAGCTGTGTACTATTTCACATGAGCTTGATGATTGGTTGATTCTGAATGCAGGTACATACCCAATTGTTATGCACCCTATGCAGTTAGGTTATTTTACGTTTTTAAGTAATCTTTTTTATATATAGAGTTTTTTACTGTATAACTTAAATAGAAAAGAGGGATTGGCCCTCATTTATCATTCTTGCGTAGAAATGGGTGTATATGTTGGCGTAAGATTGTGCTTACACTCCTCTCACCGCCTGATTTATGAAGCTGTGCGTACCTTTGAAATCCAGGTGTACGCAATGCCTGCCCTTGATAAATCCCGCGGCCGAAAACGATCTTCATTAGAATAACACGCCCCTAAATATTCAAGTCTCCGCTCCCCCCACGCCCTCACTTTACGCCATGGACACACGGAAGACGGCAAAGAAGAGAAACTTCTCTGATGTGGAGCCGAAATTATCTATGACAATGCATTATTTTACAGCATGTCTTTTGAATTACCATTCAATTTCGAATCACGTCACATGTATTGGGGTGTACAATAGTGATGATGATGATGTGATGTGGAGTAGCCTACCATTCATTCACATTAATAATTGCATGACAATTTTTAATATTCTTCTTATTATTATGATTTGTATTATTAATGACGCTTATTGTTATTTAGAAGAAGAGAGTCATTATTATTATTATTATTATTATGTAAAAGAAGAGGAATGTATTTTTTTATTTTTTTTGTCTTTTTTTTGGTCTTTTTGGCCTTTCATTACCGAACCCAGTCTGTGCGCACCAGCAGGGGATAGCCTAATCCTGAAACGTCGGGGTAAAGTCCACAGGCTCGCAACTGAAGGAATACATATGCTTACGCAACCAAATCAAATGCTTTGATAAAGTAACACAAATTAAACATTGAAGTCCATATTGCACTGCAAATAAACACTGAAGTTTATAATTACTATGTTTGTTCTTTTTTTGTACAGTGGGTCATATCATATCTTTTAGTTTGTCAGTGTATGGCAAGCCGTTTTAGCTTTTATTCCTCTCCAGGATATGAATTCTTGATATCAACAATTACATTTTTTGATATCAAGAATTGAATTCTTGATATCAACAACTAAATTCTTGATATCAAAAAATGGCATTGTTGATATCAAGAATTCATATCCTGTGAATGATTAAAAGTTAAAACGGCTTGCCATAGTCAGTGCGTTTTGTGGTCTTAGGATTTTTTTTCTGCGCATTTTCGCACTAACTCAAAACGTGCGTACACCACCTCCTGAGCTGGTGTAGGATTTGAGCATGCCGTAGGCCAACGTTTATATTGATAAATCTTAAAGTCACCATGGTTTTGGGTGTACGCCAGGTGTACGCTGGAAATTTGGTGTTCGCACTTTTGATAAATGAGGCCAACTATGACCAAAAAAAGTCACAGAGATATTTTTTAAACCTGTTTTTATGTTGTCAGGAAGTAAAAGTTCTTAAAAAACTATTTACATTGCCAAATTGATCACTAGACAACTCAAAAATAATTCATTTTTATTAAGCAAAGTCATTAAATTACATTTACGTTTGTGTGTGTGTGTACAGCAATCTGCTATATTTTGTGTTGTAACTTTTTCATGTTTGAACTAATTAAAACTGATGGCCATTTATTGTTAAACAATGGCACAAAATCATGCAAAACATATAACATTCTTAAAGCTGCAGTCCGTAGCTTTTTTTGGGGGGGCGTTCAAAGCTTGTAATAATGTTTAATTAATTCCAGTGGTACTGGTGGATTTTCGCGGGAGATTCAAGCATGTCTTTGTGCCATTACGTCACATCTGTACACATAAAGAAAGAGTCTCGGCTAATAGGATATATTGAGTGCGAGGATGCTGGAGGTGGAGATTTATAGCCATTTCTCACAGCACTTGGATATAACTAAACTTATCAATTTGATGGCGAATCCAGAAACGTTCAAACGTTCACCACCAGTGACAACAGAATCACCCGTTGTAAAATGCAAAAGACTTCGTTCGGACTTCAGAGTGGCTACAGAGAGAAAGAGACTGCAACCGGACCCATGCGAAAACAAGGATAAATATCGGAAGGACATTACATTTAGTCATGCAATGCTTATGTTGTTAACATTAACAATTTGAGAACAAACTATAATTTACAAGGTTTTGCGTGATATGATAAGCGATTGTTATATTTAATGAGCACGATTTACTGCAATGTCAGAACCAGAACAATAGCTGTACACACTCCTCAAACACTGTGTTCATCCGCGCTGTGCCGTGTCGAGGGTGTTGAAGTACAACTCGCGTAAAGTTGAAAATTCCACGAATGACTGCAGTTGCAGATTTCGAACAGAGATGGCGACAACGAGAAAAAATGCCGGACTGCAGCTTTAACAACTTCCAACTTGAAAAATGGATTGCAAAACTATTTTAATTTAAAACTTTGAAAAACTGAAATAAATCGCCATCATTGTTTAAATTGAAAAATATTACAATATTTTTAAATATATTTGCAGGCACAAAGCAAACATTATACAAGACACAGATTGTTTTACGTTTGCCCATTATGTTTTAAAGCTCTATGCTGCAATTACAGTATATATCTTTAAGATAGCAAAGAAAATATTATATTAAGAAAGAATGTAATATGACAAAAAAGTAACATTCATCCTTTGAAAGTCTTGTCATTTGGTTTGTGACCCGTGCTGGCAAAAAGAGTCGCCATGAGCAAATTTTCAAAAATTAGTTTTTGTTATTTTCACATTCTTTGTTAAAGAAACCTTCAAAATGATGTATGATTTGTTGACCAAAAATGTTTGAGCTACACTTGTTTGAAATCGATTGTCAGCAAAGTCAATTTTGAGAAAAAATTGCTATGAATGTTGTGCCGAGGGGAAGATATCGTTAAGCAGACGACTCGTCAAGCGAGCAGAGAAAAATTTTCCAAAATATAATTTTGGATGTGGAGCATTGGGATCGCTACATGAGGGCTTAATAAACTCGTTTCTGTGAAAACCACAAATTTGACTATATTACTTGTTTTGACTGTAGCTTGTAATGAGCCTCTGCACATTTCGACACATTTTGCCAGGATGGGTCACATTTCTTCAATCACGGAGTTCACTTTACTGTTTTTGTTTTACATTTAGTGATACAGTATTTAGTGTATTCAGTGCTGAAAGTGTTAGGGACCACAGTTTAAACCCTCGGAAGTACCACTCTACCACTTGCAGCACTGAATGTAATTATATTGTGACCTGAATCTCATCAGATTCCAGATTAAGCTGGTTGTGATCCTCCACCGTACTGTCAAATTTGGGACAGATGAACTCAACAGGTTTCCAGTGTGGTCTTCGTCCACTTCCTCTTTGTCGGAAAGGGGCAAACCGCAGCCATTTCTTCACTACATCAGCAAACTGGTGGTGTGTGGCCTCCTTTCCTATGGGTGTCCTCTTCAAGGCACCTGCAGAGAACAGAGTTGAAACATGACTTCACATGAAGACCAAAAACTGTTGTACTGAAACATAACTTTAAAGGTTGCTTACGAAATAAAACCCCCTGCAGTCTGGTGTTTCTGAAGCTCCGTTTCTGTCCTCTACCCACCCAGTTGAGCTCCGAGCCCACACTGAAAGAGAGAACAGCGTGCATAAGACGCCGGACCGCATCATCCACCGTGGCTCCGCCCATCCTTGAGAGATGTGACACCTATGGAGAAATCAAAATATAATGCAATACTCAGTACAGGTGAAGAAGGGAAGAGTGTTACTAAAAAAATGTTTGACTGATGTTTACAAAATGACGTAACCCATTATTACATGTGCTAGAAACTGTAAATTAAAATTGAATATTATTTACCATTCTCCTCTGAGATTCAGTATCCTCTAAATGCTGCTCTGTTTCATCAAGCTGTTCCATAGTTCTCAGTGGCAGATCTATGTCAAGAGGTTCGTCCTCCTCTTCACACACTTGTCCATGAATTCTGGCCTGCAGGTCTTTCAGAACTTCCCACTGCCTCTGTTGCTCCTCCTTGATCTCAATAAGAAGGGATATGATTTTCCTGTGGGCCGCTGTCTCTGTAGTTGTAAAAAGGTTGATTTAGTGAAGACTTATAAAAGTTTCAAATTCAGCATTGATATCAACTGTGTCAGTTGAGTTCAATTTGTGTGCAGGTATCCATGTGTCTACTTGCTGTTAAGTGTTGCTAAGGTGTTATGGGTTGTTTATGTAAGTGGTTTCTATAGACAGTACAGTTTAATTTAAATATTTTATTCTATTAACAGGAATTTTATTTTGTACATCTGACAGTACTCTAGGACTTGATTGAATCATTGGTTCAATGTTTGCTATAGAGTGCAACAGGCAGTATCTTTAAAGTAAAAAAAAAACTACATTTAGTTATAAACCATTAAAGACCGCTTTCCTGCAAGCTACGGGTTGTTAATCGATAGTATTAGGTATGAAGCCATTAGTCCGTATATATATAACAACGTTTTGCTATAGCATCCTATCTATTTCAGCAGAACAATTCAAAAACACATTAAATAGTAGAGCTCAGCCAAAACAGCGACGCTCCCAGTTCCATTTGTGTCAAAATTCAAACATGGCGCTGCTGTGAATAAGGTCTATTACTGCGATTTCATGTGATTGACAGGTTGTCCCGACCTCGCGCCAGTAAACGCGTCATTACAGAGGAGATATTGCCAGAGAGAAGAAAAGTCACTTTTTTGGTAGGGTACATGAATTAATAAAAATGGTGTGCATGGATAAATAATTTATAACAAATACTGCAATATTCCATAAAACAATTAAAAGTCAGTTTTGATTTCATGGTGACTGATTTTTATTTATTTATTTATTTATTTATTTTTTAAGGAGGTTCTTCTAAGGAGGTTGGAGTAGAGTGGAGGCTTACAATCATTCGATTCTTTATTTAAAACGATAGTGTATAACTTCCATTTTAAAAAACTTAAAGTCAAGACATTTTAACACAACAAAAATCCATAACGATTTAAGAAAAGCGATATAAAGTGATAATTTTCAACGACTACAGTAGCTACCTGAAGATGATGATGCATTCTCTAGCATTAACTTTTCTGCCACTCCTGCAGGATTGTAAGACTGTGAATCCGCGCTGAAATTCACCTCCGCCCGCCCCGGGATGTCTTCTGCGCTCCTTCTCAAGTCTGCGGGCAGAGGGTTCATATCCTCCTCGGGCACCGCTAAGCGTCTCTGTGCCATTTCTGCCATGTGTTTACTCACTAAACCCTCCGCCCGCCGGTTTATGGCCCAGCTCGAACGACCGACACTGTTTGGGTCCATTTATAAGGTTGTATTTATTAATTTACAAATAGCACTTTATGAAAAATTTGCTACTCTTGATAAACACTACGATATATGCGAGAAATAGGCGGAAATGGTTATCAAACTGCCCCCAGCCAGCGCACGTATCACGTTACGCAAACGTCACAGCAACGTTAGCAGAACGTTGGGAATTTTGAAAGAACTACATTTCCCATAAGCATATCGTGACGTCACCCGTCGCTTACAGGCGCGGAGTTAAATGTTGTTATAAAAACAACGGCTGCAGACAGAGACCTTTCTTTGAAAGGCAGAGGTTTGCTTGTTAAAGCAGAGGGTCTGTCTCAACTGACTTATGGCGCTCAGTCACTGTACATTGATAAGCACACTTATACAATTATCTATCTAAAAAACTAATCCCATTATTCGAAAAACAAAACCAGTGATACTAAATTCTAAACAAAAGGGTGGCTGTCTTACATTTTATTGATTTTAGTTATTGATTACTTTTTTAAACTTTATTGAATGTTTAGATTTCTTTTCATTTAAGTAATGCCCTCTTTTTCTTTTTCTTTTCCCCGTTCTTGTTTAGCCTACATCACTAACTTTTTGTTTGTTTTGTGCTAAAATGTTGTTTTGTGTTATTATTATGTTGTTTCACACTGTAAACTGAATGTTTAAATAAAGCATTAAAAAAATGTTGTCCACTTATTCTTTTTTTATGCATTTATCGTTTTGTATAGATTTGGAATGTTTCCTTTGTAAATGCTTATGAAAGTTTACGTTTCTGAAAATATTATAAAAAAAAAATTATTTTATTTGAACAGACAGAGATTACCAACAAATCTGGCCTTATTGTAAATCTTTGTTTGATTATGGGGAAATACCATATAGGCCTACATAAAAAATATGTGCTAAAGAAAAACCCAACTTTTTATTATTTCAGATAGATATGAAAAAAATATATTGAGTTACTATGGGGGCTCTATGATTATCTCATACCTGTTACTTTTTCTGTATATATATATATATATATATATATATATATAATTATTTCTCTTACACACTCACCATGTTTTCATGCCAATACAGTACATTTATGTTCAATCAAGGAAGTGTAATGGACTATGTTGTTTGAGATGCATCTGTGCTTATGATGGCTTAATATTTGAAAATGTTATCAATATAGTACCATAAAAAATCCAAACAGACTTCTTTGCTCTAAATCAACTAATAACAACAGTTTTGTGTGAGGGCTATTGGTAGGTTTGATATTTTGGAAATATTTTTATCTCTGTAGAATCCATTTATTAGAAGCCCCATGATACAGTGAAAGCAATATGCCTGTTTTTAAGGCTGAAATGACAATTAGCGAACAATAGTGTTAACCTCAGCAAAGATCATTTTAATTATGGTCAAGTAGCAAAAAAAAAAAATAAAAAAAAATACTCCTCTGATATACAACTGAAACACCTGAACAAAATAGTTTAGTACATAAAGCCAAAAACCATTCTTTTTATGATTCCTGAAATGCAGAAGACATCAAATAATCAGAATGAAATATCTATGCTTTCATTGGAGAGTTTTCCATTGGAAAAAAAAAAGAAAAAGAAAAATGAAAACATGCAATAATCTAAGAGGTCTAATTTCACTGCTGTCCATCCAGTGCTCAACAATGTGTAATAGTAATGAACATAAATAATTCCTTATATTAAAATATCCCATGCAACTTAGCAAACCAAGGGTGTTCAAACCCTCAACACAACAACAAAAATAAAAGAAACAAATAAAGGACCCAAACATTGTACAGTATCTATGAAAATATTGTCAACAGATATACAGGCAAAGACAAAAATATGAAGACATTTTCTTGTATGTATAATTATGTACATCAGCAATGCATCACCCTGTAAAAGTCACTTTTTATTAAAATATGCCTGAATCCATGAAGAAATATCATCAGACAAGAAAAGGAAATAAGAGTGCTGTAACTTGTCTAATTGTGGGCTAATTGGTTGTGCATGCCCCCATTATTATTCTCATTATATTTGTGCGTAGGAACGAACAGCAGCACTTTGATTTTCAGAAGTGATGATGACCAAATAGCATCGATCAGATAATAACTATTGAATCTGTAGATCACTATGGCTGGTATATTGCAACCATAAACATAGGCATTAATGTCCCACAACCTGTAAGCAGCTGTGCACATATTCTGAAGCATTACAGTTGCAGTGATAGTTAATTTTGTTGCATCTCAAAGCCTCTTTTTACTATCCTTGATATCGAGCATTTAGAGTGCACAAACTCTGTCAAAACTTACTGAAATACAGTATATGACTCTAAGAATGTGATGTGTCATGTTTAGGATTTACAAGAAAAAACACAAACACATATTTAATCTACACATTATTGCATTTGATGAACAAAACTTTTCATTAAACCCTGCCTTCCCGAAATCTTCCTTATAATACCCTGCTTTACGAAGAAGAAAATAATGAACTATCCTCAGCATCCAAACACAGCTCATACACTCTACTTGGATTACACCTAGCTTATATTTACCAGGAATATCACATTGCTTAAACCCTAGGCCTTCTGTTGCATTTTTGGGAAGTAAACTAGGCCTAATGTCTATTATGAGTAACATAGAAAACAAAATGTCCATATTTGCTCATATGACCTAGGGAAAAAGTATCCTTTTTATATCATTGATAAAAGAATGACCTACAAAGTGTGACCTTTGATTTTAAACATGCTAAAACTACTTTGACAGTAATTTGTCAAATTCGTTTTTTTGTTTTGTTTTTTTTAGGTTTTTTTTAGCTAAAGAATTCACTTGAAGCACGGCCTACAGGCATTTAACAGCAGGAAACATTTCTAAACATTTTGCGTAACAAAATACAAAGTTGCGTTTGAGATAAAAAATACTTTTCCGCAATACTCTTCCATAAATGTAATCTAAATTCCATCCTTAAAATATGACAATTGCACACCCAGTATCAACCAGTGCATAAAACACAAAATTTCCCTGCAATGTGCCTGCGGACTAGAAAAACCTGCATGACGTTTCTAACTAGACTAAAAAGAGTCCATAGAATCGCTACTTTGTCAGCTCACTAAAAACCTCTGTAAGGAGAATAGTCCACACATTATGCCACAGTTAAAAGTTTACAGCTGTGAAACATTGTGGAGGTGTCTTTTTACAACCCCCAGAAGCAGAGGCATACAAAACAAAGTATTTAAATCTTCCCTCTAAAAGAAGGCCAAAAAATGAGTCCTAGTCACATCAGCATAAAGAACATCTGAAAAATCCAAATTATTACCTATACATCCTTGGAAATGAATTGTGATCATTGTTTTACTGAGAGGATATCTTGATAAACTCTAACATCAGAGCGGCATGCTAAGAGAAAAATGACTTTGAATTTTATTGTTTTACATCTATGACTTCTGACTTTGAAACAGTCTTGTCAACATTAGATGTTAGCTTCATTTTACCAGGACAAGTTCCTGTTAATCAGCTTCTTAAGTTTGTGGCTCACTCACTCCATTCACTCTTAACAGAGAATGGGCCGATCTTAAATGTCAAAACAGTTAAGTATAAAATATGTGTGTATATATATTTTTATATGTTTTCCCCTTGCCTGCCAAAGTTTTGAGTGTTCAAAAAATCTCTACAATTACCTCGGATGTCACGTCACACCGATATCAAATAGTAGAAACTGTTTTACGCATCAAGTCAAAGGTGCATCTAAAAGGGTGCATATTATTCAGAGATGAAGGAGAAGAATTCCAGTAGAAAAGGATGACACACAAGCTCTGAAGGACAAAACGGCGTAGCCTGGCTGAAACTCCAGAACGGTCTCTTCTTTGGGACAGCTGTGGGTTGGTTTCGTTTCAGTACGTCATAGGAAAGCAATGTGCATAAATAGTTTTCAATAAATTAATAAATAAACTTTTCTCTGTTTTCAGTATATACAGAGTGTTAGAGACGAAAGAATGTTCATAAACACATCTACAGAAATCCCATATATCGTCTCACTAAACATAAAAATGTTGGTTGTAGCGTTCCAACATGTGTCTCCACACAGGTGCAAACAAATGCCCGCTGTCTCTCTAAAAGCGATCTCAAACCTTTCGCTTTTATTACCTTCTCTGCATGGTAAACATATTCTCATTGGAAAAAAACGTAGACACTGATGACCCAGGCATCTGGATCAATCTGTCATATGAAGTGACTTGGTAATGCCCAAATTAAAAAGATTTACTAGAGGTCACCAGTACCTTTCAGCAAAAAAACAGAGAACCCTATCATTGTACCGATATAAGTCCAGTCTCTTCTTCCATCAATTAGCAGCTAACAAAATAAATGCCATCATAAAATACATTTAGATCATATTCTTTAAATATGTAATATGCAAAATATTTTGAAAAACAAAAAGTATTCACATCAAACCAGGCAGTAGTCATCGTTTACTACATTCCTGTCCCGTCAGAACAGTCTTTATACATTATGAGTCAACAGGACCATTCCTCACACACAATCCTCTCTCCTCTTGTAACACCACAGACCCAGAGACTCTATCAATATTGCACCCATTGAAAAAAAAAAAAAAAAATAGAGAGGATCGATAGAGGATCACCTAGATCAATAAATATTCCTTCAGAACAGGAGCCGGTCTGCTTCTGATCAAGGACCTGTGCCATTATCCTCGCAAGGTCAAGGAGGGAGGGCCGGGAAAAGGAACGTTTCTCATTCTTCGCGGCAGGTGGGCAGATTGACGAAGGTGAATACGTTAAACTCGATGAGGATGGAGAAACACAGAAAGACAGCGTACATCAGCAAACAAAGGAAACCCAAACGCTTGTCCAGTTTCCATTTGTTCAAATGTACGCCGAGAACCTGAGAGGGAAAGAAAGGGTATTTGTGAGAGGTGGATTCAAAGGACATTTGTTTGAATAAGTGTTTTTAATTGCTCTCACATACCGTGAGAAACACAGATGCCAGCAGCAGCCCAACCGAGAAGATCAGGCCTTTGCTGTTGAGGTGAATCTGAGCAGAGATGCAGAAATGTTACAACTTGCACTTATAAAATGTTGGCAAATGGTTTCAAACAAAGCCTTATGTTTATTCTACTGCGACTCCAAATGTGTTTTCAATTTAGACCAGATGTAGACAAACATGTACACAGACCCAAAATTGGCTATTTTCTTTTTGTCTAAATTTCTACTTTAAACTTGCAGTTGTTTTCTAGTTTTCTGCTTCCTCTCTAACGCAAACATTCTACATTTATCAATATCATCCTTTATTAAATATTTACTTTATTTAGATGATGTTTGCCATCATGCAACACACACATGTTGGTTTTAAATACCAATTATACTAAAGTTAGTATTTAAAAACAAAAATAATAATTTAATAAGACTCAAAATCCAATATATATATATATATATATATATATATTTTATTGTACATTATAATGCTGGGATGATTAAAATCACATGTAAATTTCATTTTTTGGGGGTATCTATTTAGACGAAATCTCGGTGCATCACTAATGTCACACAATTTCCGAGTTAAAGGTTGTAACTAAACAAACAATACTGATTTTTCCTTTGGTCTCTGTCAATGCTCTCCACCATTGACGAGTTATCTTGTCTTTTATGAGAAAACGATTCCCTGCCAATGACGAGATTTTACAGCGTTCCGTGTTATCGCTGTTATAAGACAGGCAGGCACTATTATGCATCTCGTGAACGAGTACGGTTTTCAGATCAAAACACAGGTAAAGAAGATCTACTCCATCTATGTTGTGATCATCGTACTGAATCTAGATGTAGTCTTTGACAAAAACGTGATTTTCTCAGCTTGCTAAAAATCTTGCTTTTTTATGAAGCGTCGATGAAAAAGAATGCATGAAGATATAATAACTTTTTTGTTTAAAAGCAGAGGGTCTGTTCTTTCTTTTGATATATTGCATGCAATTGACTTTATGCACAGCTGCACTACTTCCTGAACTTAAGCCAGCTCCTTGTTTCCTGTCTGCCATTATTGGCCAAATCCAGGTGTGCCTGACCTCAGTAGTCACGGCAACAATACTCAGACACACCTGAATTAATCAAGTTCGGCCAATAATGGCAAACAGGAAACAAGGAGCTGGCTTAAGTTCAGGAAGTAGTGCAGCTGTGCATAAAGTCCATTGCATTCATACAAAACAAATTCTGGGGGCCACGATATTTTTGTGAAAATGACCAAAAACACTGGCGGTGGCTGGCGACTTAAAATAGAAAAATGCTTGCAAGGAAAGAGTTAAGCATTTGCAAAATAAATCATTAAACAATAATGAATGATTACGACATTCTGCACTTACTGTGGAACCATAGTCGATGGCCAAAGTCTGGAGAGTCCAGGGCAGACCAAGCCCTATCAGGATATCAAACACATTACTACCAATGGAGTTGGATATAGCCATGTCACCCATTCCTGAAAAACATTGATAGACAGTTTAAAGACATATTAAACATATTACGATAATCATAATCAAATCAAACTTCAACACCCATAATGCACTTTTGATTTTGACTCTGCATCTTTGTCAGTATCTTTGAATTGTTATAATGTCGGTAGTATATGTAAATTAACAATGTGTATTTTTTTTTTATTCAATTCTATTATTTATTTAATCTCTTTCAGACCAAGCAGACTAATTATTTTATTCAGGGAATGAGTGTAAATAATAAAGCTAAAGCGTGAAGAAATCTTCATTCATTCCTACCTTGCCGTGCCACAATTAGACTGGCCAAACAGTCAGGAACGCTGGTGCCAGCAGCCAAGAAAGTTATACCCATAATGACATCAGGGATGCCCATAGTGTAACCGATCACTGTGACCTGCCACGAAAGTGTCAACAGGTCACTGGACAATTCTAAAAAAGAAGTTTAAGAATTTATAAAATCTAAATTTCTCTGGCAAGCCTTACCATCCACACCATGATGTAAGAGAAGAAAGCGATCCAGAGGGTGGAATTGATGAACGAGACCATGTACCAGCGCTCCCAACGAGGCGAGGCACAGTTTGGCACGGTCAAGAACAGCAGCAGACTCAGTGGCCAGGCCAGCAGCCACTTTAGCTTATTAAAGCCCCCACCTGCACAAGATCAGGACATCATTTAAGTCATTTGTCTTTTATCAAACACTCTCATTCAAAGCAGCTTACAGAACACTTCCTGGCATGAGGGGCATTCGCATTGGATAGTTCTAGGAACTAGCCACCAGGGTGGTTCCATGAGAACTAATGGATCCCTTAGGAACATTTTCCTAGTTGCATCCGCACCGTCAGTAGGAACTCTGAAGTGACGTAAGCCGCACTTGTTGTTGTGATAGAACTGTTATACATAGAAAGAGTATATGAAAAGGTATTAGAGTATGCGGTGCGGTTGATGTCTAGTGTTGCTAGCTGAGCAGAAATACATAAACATGGTCCCCTCTAAGTTGCGTTGAATTTTCTCCTCAACGTAAAAGTTAAGAGGCCCATCTATAACTGATTTCCATGTTCATAGAGTTAGCTTCTGGAGTAAATATATAGGCTACGATCTTTGTGTTCACATAGCTTTTTTGAAAATGGCCCATGCTGGTGTTTTGTGTGCATTTGGGCAATAAGCATACACTGACGCTTGAAAAATTCATTTGTAGCGAGTAGGATCAGTCAACAACTGTAGCGAGTAGGGTCAGTCAACAAACACAGTGAGTCATGTCATCTTCTCCTCTTATTCTCACTTGCACTTCACGTAACATCTATAGCATAGCCTTCTCTGTCAGCACAGATTTACATGTGATAAATGCAGGGAGATAGTCAGGCTAATGGTGAAGATTTCAGAACTACTCTTCAGTTCCGATTACCAAAACAAATAGATTCTACAAACAAGCATACTTATCATTATTTTGGCAGACTAGTTTTTGACTAAGTAATTGCTGTTGCTGTAATTTTATTTTCTGAATTACAAAGCAGTCTAGTTTCAAATATAATTCTTTTGAAGTGTTGGTGCTTAATGTAAGATCGAGAGTAAATGATGAATCACGTTTGAGATTTGTGCGGGCTACTGTATACAGGCCAGCAGGGCACCATACAGACTTTACGCTGTTCAGATGCTGTTCACTCTGTAAATGCTAATCCCTTTGGAGATATCATTAGGAAGCATGGCATTAGTTTTCACTGTTATGCTGATGATACTCAGCTCTATATTTCTTCATCCGGGCCATATCTAGATCATATGGTGGATCATATGGTATGTTATCACTGTGAAGCTGCTTTGATACAATGTGTAAAAGCTCTATATAAATAAAGGAGGCTTGACAGTGCTGGTTTAGACCCTACTCTGAAGTAGGAGCTAAATTAATTCCACTTAAGGAGTTCCCAGAACAAAAATTCCGGGTACTTTTGTCAATAGTTCTAGGAACTATAAAGGTTCCTCCGGTGCGAAAGCCCATCTGTACAGTTTATAGACGGCCATTTCTAGGGGTTGAACCTAATACCTAGAAACTAGCAAAAAATCTTATTTCGTCAATCATCACTAATAAATGTACCGGGGCAGCGGTATGGTACGAAGGGTCCTTCGTTGTCATCTTCCTCCTCTTCCTCCTCATCGTTCTCATTGTTTTCATTGTCCTCATTCTCGTTTTCGGTGTCAGTGCCAGCTTCAGTTCCTCCCCTGTCATCATCATGGTGACCTCCCTTACGCCCGTTCAGGCCTCGGTCCGGTCCTGCCAGCCCATTCTCCACCCCATGCTTTCCAGGGATTTTTACAGTCACCTCTGAGTCGCCGTTACTGAAACGACTGTTTATCAGACGCTGCCTCTGCAAACACACACACACACACTAGTCTTGAGTAAATAAATAGAATCGCTACAATGAATAACCACTTAAAGGGATACTCCAACCAAAAATGAAAATTCTGCCATCATTTACTCACCCTCAAGTTGTTTGCAATCCTGTATGAGTTTCTAACCCTTTGAAGAACGATTGGAACTTTGGCACCACTGACTTCCATAGTATTTTTTTTTCTACTATGGAAGTCAATGGTACCAAAAACTGTTTGGTTCCAATCGTTCTTCAAAATATCTTCCTTTGTGTTCAGCAGAAAAAAAGAAAGTGCAACAACTTGAGGGTGAGTAAATGATGACAGAATTGTCATTTTTGGGTGGAGTATCCCTTTAAGGTCATTTTTTCACAATTGTGCAAGATTTTAATTTTTTCCTCACAATGTGACTATTTCAGTTTTATTCCAAGCGAGATACATTGTATGAATATTTTTCTTTTATTCAGCAGGGATGCAATAAATTGATGACAAGTGACAGTAAAGACATTTATAATATCACAAAAGATTTCTACTTCAAATAAACACTGTTCTTTTAAACTTTCTATTCATCAAAGTTTTGTTTTCCACAAAAACAATAAAAAGCACAATAAGAATTAAAAAAAAAATTGTTACAATATTATGCAACATTTCAGTTGTTTACTGTATTTCTGATACAATAAATGGTCATTGGTGAGAGACTTCTTTCAAAAACATAAAAAAAAACATTACTGACCCAAAACTTTGAATGGAAGTGTATAAATTCTACATAATACACTTCAATGTGAGAGTTCATCAAACTCAGTTTAACCACCTGTAAAAAGCTAGGCACAATCTAAGCATGCACTGTATCTAGTTCTGTGTTTGACTAAACTATTAGTGAAAGAGTGCAGATGTGTGTTGGTGTGACTGACCTCTGTAATGAGCATTCTGGACGCCATCGTGAGGCGTGTGCGAGGGGAGAAGTGGCTGGTTATCATGATTCTCATTCCAGCCTCAGAGAAGGACAGTTGATGAGGGTATGCAGACAAGAGTTCATCCACCATCAGCACTGATGGCTTCCTGTGGAAATTTGCTAAGAGTGACAGAACAACAACGCAGAACTTTAGATGGCACACCAAGCAGTTATATGTGCGATTCATATAAAACAGGACTGCATGCATTACCTTTCTTAAGCAGCACGACTGTGGCGTCACACCCATCGTCGATGTCAGTGTTACTGGCTGTGCCGTTACCCAGATTTGCTGAGTTCTTTTTCCGCCGTTCAATGTACTGAACCACCCGCGAGTTAAATCTGATTAACACGGAGGAAGGAGAGTTAATAAAATCAGCAGTGATGTGATTTACTGATGTAAAATAGATATGAATAGTAATGACATAATGAAACATTTCCATGGCAACAGAATAAAGGTTAACTTACTTCATTAATATAATGTAAAATAGGTACAGCACTATTAGGATGAGCGATTCATACCTGAAAAGAAATAAAGTAGCATAAATGTCTGAATACATAACAGAATGTGAAACAAAAGTAGTATGACAAATGAAGGTGTTCTAGTGTAACAGCAGCGTTTATCTTACCATGTCACCTTCTCATCATAGATGAACTGGGAAAAAAAGCACAAAAAAAGCAAAAGTTAAATTAAATAGACTAATATGCCAATGCCAAATTCATTCAACTATTTCAGAAATGTTGCATATTACCACTAGAGGGCAGGATTATCTATCTGTATTATAGGTCCTAAAGATCTAATGCATAAAATAGCATTTCTGTGATGCATTATTTAATTTTGGCTGAATCTTTGAATAGAAAACATTATAACAATACAATACAATTTATTAAAAATAGATTAGCATGATAAGTAAACGTTTTCAAAATTAAAACATTTCATTAATATAGCCTACAGGTAGACCGTATTGTACAATTTCAAGTGTATTGGTATCTATTATTTATTTTAATTTGTTATAAATTTCATTATCAGCATCCTTTTAGTGACAATTCGACAAGAACTCTTTATTTTCAGGTTTTTTTGAATTCTATATTTTCAGCATGGTCAACATGGAGCCCACTGTAAATGTACATAAATACAAACTAATCAGAAAAAACACCCATAGATATACAGATATACTGTACAACCATTTACTGTAAGTAGTTAAGAGACATATCACCACTTTCCATCAAAAAAGTCCATGTTTCAACTAACAGTATGAACTGTTACAAAACAGTTTGTTCTTTCAGTGAATCTAATTTTTAATAAGGTGTTCTGTGTAGCATCTCTGTTACTCTGCTGTGTTCTATTAATCTGTGTTTGTTGTTCCTCTGTGCTGGGAACACATGCAGAGAGTGTGGGCAAATAAGAGTCCTGTGCTGCCGGCCACGGGCCCCACGGGAGAGCCACTTGCTTCTCCTCTCCTGCTGCGTGAGGAGGCCCATAGGCTTTATGGGAGCATGAAAAGCCACTTAGAGATCTACTCACCACAATCAGAGCGGTCACTGAGATGGTGTAGTACACAGAGTCTCTCATTAACGTCCAACATGAGAGCCGTACTGCCTGCATCGATGAGAGAGAGGATGGATGAGAGGCAGTTAACAGACAGCTCTTCTATTACATTTCAATGACAAGTAAATATTTGAATGATTTACTTTCAACATCTATCTTGAATAAGTGCTTTATTTTTGGCGACAGAAGTCATAAAAACCTAGAGCAAGTTCTAATAACTCATAAAGGATGTGCATATTACAGGGCACTGATTAAACATGGGACAGACACAGAAGTATGATGATTTTGAAATGAACTTCCAAAAATAATCATTTGTATCTTTGATAATGATATTGCATAATTGCTTAGAACTATTAAAGAGTTTAGTTTGAAAAGACTATTCCACACAATAAAAAATTGCATGCTTTTTTGTCATTCATGGACTGACAGATATTTTTGAAAAGTTGGATGGTCTCGGATTGGCTTACAAACTTTAGAATACCGAATTTGGGTGCGTGAATCAGAAGTGAAGGACATGAACGAAGTAGGAACCATATATGGACATTACATCCTGCACTCAATCCATCTGATTGAACCATGTGAAGTAATCCATATTGAATGGGCCATGTTTTGAAGGTCGATTCTTCCATAAAAAGCAATGATCTACGGCAGAGCACCGAAAGTAGTGCGCCATCGCTCACGCCAGCACAGCTTAACTTACACCACAGGTGACGCTCTTTGCTTTGTGTTTCCGTGGTAACCAGAAGCTCCATTGTTGCAGATGTGCTTTTTCCCCTGCTTGACTTTGATGGACTCAATGCGTAAGTGTGAGTGTCATTTTGTGAATGATTTACTGACATCACTAATACAGGATGTTAATTTTGTTAGAAATTAACGAATAACGAATAGAAGAGCACAAATACAAAGCTACAGTATTTCATGTAGGTCTGTGCAAATATATATATATATATATATATATATATATATATATATATATATATGGTCACACTTTCGTTTAGGGTCCAATTCTCACTATTAACTAACTATTAACTACTTTTGCCTCAAACTCATAATTACAGCTTATTAATAGTAAGGTAGATGTTAAGTATAGGTATTGGGTAGGGATATATGCAGAATCATGTCAGGTCATGCAGAATAAGACATTCATATTTTAAAGGACAACTCCAACACAAAATAAACCTTCGGTCTAATAACACATTGGTACCTAGTCAACCGTTCTCTGAGATTTGTTGTCATTATAATCGAATATGACGAGTTTTATAAAAACTCTTTTATAGACAAAATACGCTAGTATATAGGGTATAGAGTAATGAAAAATAAAAATCGCTCAAAAAGGCTATCTATCTATCTATCTCCTATCTATTATGTGACGTAGGCCTAACACACCCCTCCCTTTCTCCCCTTATATATATTTATATATATTTAGCCTACGTTAATTTCTTATTCAAACTAAATCCTATCACCATCTCCCCCCCTTCCTCTTTCATCCTCATCTTTTTCACCAAAACTGTTGTAGGTGGACACAGACTTGTCATACATGAACTTCCCCTGGCTAGTGACAGCGTTACCCACCAAAACTGATTTTTACCCGCATTTGTAGGGGTGTTAATTTCGAACCCTGTTTGTATGCATATGTGTGCGGACACTATTCTAAAGGTCTATCAGACTACCCAGAATGCCACTATTCCACTGCCAGATGGTGACTGAAGAAAGACTGGGAGAGGAAATAACTATTAAGCCGTTTCCCATGCTAGTGCAAAGATAGATATAACCTCATATCCTCTTTTCTTTTACATAGTAAGGGTCTCAGGAGGTTAAAACGAATCAGTGTGAATGACTGAATGAAGTGGAAAGCAAAGGGGACAGGATGAAAAAAAGAAGCAACTCCACAGCTAACATGACTGACCTCATCAGCTACTCTCAGTGACCCCTGAGAATAGTCTGCTCACTTCTCACTGTCAGTCTGCTCTAAGAAATAGCTTTTTTTAGGGCAGAGGTTTAGAGGGGAGATGCACAGGTCACCTCATTCATCTCTAAGTTGACCTCTCACAGATGCTGAGAATTCATAATGCTTGCTCAGTACATTTGTGTCAACTGCCTAAAAGAAAATAATGTCTTACTGGAAATGCGTAGACATTGTATTAAAAAATGTTAACTCTTGTTGGGAATGCATGCTGTTATATTTAAGGTACTGTTAAATATAAACTATAACGTTATATAATACAGTTTTCCAATTTGGGATAAATGTTCCAAAAGATAAATGTATACTAAAGAAACCTAATTTATATAATTAATTAAAAACATAGCGATGAACGCAAGCATTTAACAGAATATTTTGCTACAAGCGAGAAGGCGCAGGGACACTTGTGCTGAAACCAAACTGAATCAGTGAACTGTTAGAACTAGTTCTTTTACACAAACCGCCTGGAACTATTCACTAATATGACTTGGATTTCCCAAAGTGACATTTAAGGGGAAAAATAACCTTTATTTTCCTTTAAATTAGTTTGAAACATTAACTAAAACAGCTTTTGGGTAATGTGCAAATTAATGAGTACCTGCAGAGTAAAGATCCCACACACTCCAATGATGCAGAGGATGTTGAAGACAGCAGAGCCCACGATTGTGCCCACTCCCACATCTCCTTTGGTGATAAATACACCTGCACAGAGAAGCCAGGGTGGAGAAATGTTCAAATGTGAGAGGTACTCTTTTTCAAAGGCAGGTGGTGTTTGGATAAGCCAGATGTTTACCAATGACTGAGGTGAAGAGTTCAGGAGCTGAACTTCCTGCAGCCATGAACGTGGCTCCTGCTACATCCTCGCTGAGTTGGAAGCGCTACAACACGTTCACACACAGACAGAAAGAGAGGCACAAAAGATGAGAAGAGTAATTTGAACTAAACAGAATGGCAACGATACTGACTGATCTGAAATGTTTTCCTGAACACTCCACCCAATCTGCCATTGGTCAGAATATATAAATATAGAATTGATATATTAAAATAATAATAATAATTTTAGAGTTTAATTAATACATTTGGATATTTAAAAATATTAAAAACAAACAAACTCAATTACACATCTCACCTTTAAAAATGCTTTAAAAGATTTATCAGTTGTAGAACACTAGCCGAGACATGAATGAATGACGTACCTCACAGATCTTCTCCAGAGAGGGCACAAAGTAGTCATCACACACCAGTGCCAGTGCGTAAAACATATACATGGCCTTTAGAGAGAGAACACAAAATGACAAAGTGAATTCACACACACACACAAAAAACCTCACAAAGTGAGTTTCCACTTCAAGCTCAAACTTTTTTTTTTAAAGTCCAGAACCACAATCAGCTATAATATTCAGCTACCACTTTTATGATTATATTATGGTGCTTTTTGTTTTTTTGAAGCTTGAAAGATCCGGTGTTCGTTCACTTTCATTATACCATTGGTTCTCAACCAGGGTTCAGGGGCCCACTAAGGGGGCCTCAAGATTGCTCACGATAAGGCAAAACAAGCATTGTTCTGATTAGACCTTATTAGACCTGGAAAAATCATGTAAAGGAATAAAATAATGAAACTTCATATTCATTTTTTAAATGTAAAATGTAAAATAATTTAAGGGTTTACAATTTTGAGTACAAAATGATTTTAAATATTTAAAAGCCATGGGGGGTTTTGATTATTGTTGTGGACAACGGGGGCCTTGGAGTCGAAATGGTTGAGAACCACTGCACTATACAGGAAAGAGCAGTCAGGACATTATATCCAAAAGATCCCATTTAGTGTGTCTACAGTAGAAAGAAAGTCAAATGCATTTGGAAAGACAGGTGAGAAAATCATAATAGACTAGAAATAGTGCAGAAATATCACCTTAAATCACATTGCTACATCTGATGAAGCCTCTGTAAGTTCACATTACATAAGAATGTAAAAAAAGAGAAAGACTCTAAAAGCCACAGGAGGGAGCGCATCATGAAATTTGTGCAAAGCGAAATTCTTGCGTGCAGGCACATTTGAGTACACGAGTGTCAACGCCATTAAACTCTGTTATTCTCAGAGCAATCTGCCCTCCAGTGGGACGGCCGTCTACTGGGACTATTCAGACCTTTTCTTAGAAAGTGTCCCAGTGACAGAAAGGCACTGATGGAAGCTTGTGCCCTTTATAGAGTGAGGGGGTTCAAAGTTTATTTGTCTCATACCCAATAGGGATGAATATGATGTTTCCCCGCCTACATTCTAACATGTTTTGCATAAAAAAAACTGGGTGTGGGGATTAGTTGATCCAACATCTGCTGTGGTCAGATCAGAGACTCGGACTCGAGTCGCACTTAAGTCGCACAAACAGCTGATTTCAGACTTGACTTGAGACTCGACCCAAAAGACTTCAGACTCGAACTTCGAGACTCGTCAACAACCTGTTTAAATCTAAATTCATGAATGTATTTAAATTTTTTTTTTTTGGTGAATATATATGGTGGGGAAGCGTATGATGAGCTGCATGTCGTGTCCCCTGGCGTTTGACATACTGTGCAACGTGCATGTGCACGCCGCACGCACTCACATATCAAAAAATGCATTGACGATGGCGACACTAATTCCTCCCGGAGTTGTGCCTTTTGTCATTAGTTTTGGTTTTAATAACTTTACAAACAGTGGCAGTAAGCGAAGAGCTACATGCAAAGTGTGTGGCACCAAGATAAATGATCCCGGATCCACAACGTCGGACTTCATCAGGCACCTCAAAACGCGCCACAGTAATGTGAAAGAGAAATTAAATTTAGCATATATCGTCACAGGTTCAGTAACAAGCTAACCATCACAAAGTGTTGTATCCATATAATGTGACAGACTTAGGTTAATATTTTACCAGGTCCGAGGACTAGAAGGATGTGTTAAGTAACAGAAGATTAGACTATACAATGTCGCAACACACTCACGGCAGTTTGTGAAATAATCGATTTTCTCATTTTTTTCCGTGTCTCTCAGTACGTTTCCAAATTTGTGTCTCTCAGCAGGTGGACAGATCAGATGGCAAGAGAGACTTGAGACTTGACTTGAACTTGCCCCTCAAAGACTTGAAACTTGACTCGGACTTCCAAAAAATGACTTGTGAACATCTCTGGGTCAGATGAGTGTCAATCGCAGATGTCATGGTAAAACACATATTTATGTGTATGCTTGCATTTACCAACAAATAAACATAATAAAAACACAAACATTCCTATAGCTGTAGAGCATGGCGCCAACATTTGCCAAGGTCATGGATTCGTCTCCCAGAGAAAGCAAAAACTTTTAGAAATGTATACTCTATACCTTATAAGTTAAATACATCTCTATGGGATAAAATCTTCTGGCAAAAGCATACATTTATACAATACATCCAAAAATAATGCTAATGATTGTGATTATGACATAAACAAAATAAAACTTACAAACTAACTAAATAATTATAATTATATCATTTTAAATATGCATGGGTTGACACAGAACTAACATTCCCATACATATACATGGATGCAAGCACACAATGTCCTCTGAAAGCAAGCTCCCATTCACCCCTGGGACCTGTTTGCCAACTGTTTCCCGCCAAGACTTTGCCAATCAGTGCATCTAATTCAGCCGCCACGCTGCCATGCTCGCACTTTGTGCCCATTATGTAATCTCTGCCCTATCTACTCTCATTCCCTCCCCTTCCATTTATTCTTGACCTTCTGACAAGGCAGAGCTGGGCTTGTGAAGCCCCTAAAGATAAATAAAACATGTAAACAGCTGGAGGGAGTCTTAGAGGGTTTTCGCTGCGGCTTTTACCATCCACTCTCTCAGTCTCTGCTTACATGGGCAACTATCTAAAAACAATGCACAACAATGGACCCTGCAAGGGATTTCAGCGGGAACATGCAGTACTGCATCAGTACCTGCTTCACATGGTATGCTTCACTTAAATGTTCAGACATGGCCAATGGGGGCAGAAAGGCCTGATGCATGATGTTCCTGTGATGGCTTACGATTATGGTGGAACAAAACAACTCGGTTTATTTAATTAAAACCAACTGCAGAGGGTTTATTTGGAAAGCATTCATTCCTTTAATATTTCACATTCCAGGTTCAATATAAGGTAAACTCAATAGTTGCATGTCAGTTACCGCAAAAAAATTTAAATTTATACTAAAACAACTAAACTAAAGCTACTTTCATTTCTAAGAGCCAGGATAATTGCTTCAGGAATATGAAGAAATATGTTTTTTTGGCCATAGTGTAGGGCTGGTAGTTTTTCAATGAAACACACTTCAATGAAAAACTATTCTATTGAGTCATGACTCAAAACAGCCACCCAGCTTACAATGCTTACAACTGTTAGTGCTATTCCAATTGGCTCCTTTTTATACCTCCAGAGAACACTCAAAACAATCCATAAAAGAACAGACACTATAGGAAATACTGTTGGCAGAGGGAACTCTATTGTGTATTATTGTAAACAAATGATTGTGTCATAGGGCATAGACTGCCAGACAATAAAACCCATTCCACTCTCCATATGCACTCTATATCACTGTAGAAAACAGTTTTTCATGTAAGAACTAAAGCATGCCAACTGAAACAAAACTCTTGAAATGTGTACAGACTTCATCAGCTTCTAGATCATATATCTGAACGTGAACTGGTTTGATTTGAGTTGATTTGTTGCTCTCAGAACTACAATTTAAGTTGTACAAACCATTCTCTGCTTGAACTCCTCTATTCGAGCGAGGTAATATAGCCTGAAAATTCACATAATCAATTCACTCATGTGTACAAATGAGCAAGACACTTGTAACATCATTTGCAGTCATTGTAACTAATAATAGAGGTAAGGCCAGAGAGTGCCCTGAGCCCATGACTCTTGAATGGAACACATAGTCTTGTGACTTCAAGTGTTCATGCAATTTTATCGATTTCAGTGAAAATAAGGCATCCAAACTATTGTATCAAATGCTGTAAAAAAAAAGCAGATGGTAGAGATACTTACAAACACAACATGCAGCGCTACGGCCCCCTCCATTCGCTCCTGGTTGGTGAAAAGATCATCAGGGAACTCATGTATACCTGCCAAAAACACACAAACACACATTGAGCTACATGAATAGTCCAAGTATGAATTATAGAGCAATGTACATGTGTGTCAGAGAGTCTTCCCTGTCATTATACAGTACATCATGCAATTAAGAATATGGATCACTCCAGAGAAAAAAAATAGTCAATTCTTTCAATCACATACTAATTACAGCGCAAGTACTTTTGAAACTTTTGTCTCTCTTAAAGGGATAAATCACAAAATGTTAAACACGATGTGGAACACAAAGGGAGATCTTCCCTCTTCCATCCAATGAAAGTGATTGGGACCAAAGCTGTCAATCTCCAAAACAGATAATAAAGCATCAAGCAACTATGATTATTCTGAAGCCTTATATGATTTGCAAGCAATAGACTAAATATCTTGCCTGGAAAATCTAGCTTGACAGCCGTGGTCATCATTCGCTTTCATTGTATGGAAAAGAGCACCTTGGACATTCTGCCTAACTTTTGAATCCGATGAAAAAAATAGAGGTTTCAAAACATATGAGTGTGAGTAAATGATGACACTGACAGTGTAACATTTTGGGTGATTTATCCCTTTAAGAGTAATAATAATAATAAATCTTTAATCATTCATCGCCAGAACCCATACAGATATTTTTTTTTTCCAGTCTGATCACTCAGAACAACAAAATGACTTTATCAGACATCATTCACTGAGCTTCAGAGAGAATTGACAACTATATGACTGTGGCATTGGTGTGATTTTCAGGAGCTTTTCTTGCGGTTCCGACGGCATTACTGCTGCTCCCAGTCCATCGCTGCTCTGTTAACAAGCTATTCACTGACACAGCGTGTCACCCGGCCAGTTCGATAGATAAGCCGGCAGCCTGCCGACTGAATCAGGTCAGTGAGAGTGGTCACTTATTTTCCTGGATTCAGTTTTACATGCTCTAAAATGGTGGGAGCGGCAAAGTCAGCCTTGAGCTCTCTATAAAGTGTTGCAATTGTGCTCGTTCCTACACAGCCCGTTGCCATGACGTCAGCATCCAAGATATACAGCCCTGATTGAAAAGCATTGAAACCCCAGAGACCGGCTTTGTTCCATTCGGGGAAAAGCCTGATCTCTTTGTACAAATTTGAGACATGATTTATTTCACTACTGACAGACAAATATCTCAGAATGTGTAACGTTAGAACGTCTGTCACTTATCATGACTGACTGAAAGACAGAGAGTATGTAGAGAAACTAAAATATATTGTTTGTCTGATTGTCTCACACTGCCCCCCGGAAAGAAAAAAAAAATGTTAGAAAGAAAATCTTCTTATGTCTGTAAAAACACGTTTTGTTTTTCAAGTATTTACATTGTTTTTAATTACATGTATGGGTACATTTGGCCAAGAGGACTTTTAGAAAATAGTCTGAAAACAATTTTCACATATTCATATTTCACATAATTGTAATATTGTAAAATTATGCACAATCAGAATATTGTTCACAAGTGATATTGACCTTGCATTTTTCTGTTTTTTTCACCACACAACACATCTCACTTTTTGTTGGCAAAATTGTTGGTCATAATAGAAATGAACCGACAACTGAGGGACAGATGTAAAATATTATATTTTATGATTAAAAAGTCTAAGTCTGGGACAAAAATGTACACAAACTGCATTTAAAAAGTACCCGTAAAGATAGCAGGCAAAAAGTTTCCTTCATATTAAAATATATTTATTTTATAAATATGCATTGTGATTTCCCCCTTGCACAGATGTAATGTTACTCTCTTGTGCTGCCATTTTGTGAGCAAGGTTTACAAACTACTAGCCAGTTCTCAGTTTTGTATTGAGATCAACAATAACTGAATTAGTATAACACGGCAGTCATTACAGTAATATCTGTAAGGGTGTTTGTGCGTGTCCATGGCTGCGCATTGTGCAGTGAGTGTGACATTCCCTCCCAGATCACCGGGGAGGTTGAATGCGTCAGCAGGCTTCACACTGCCCCCAATGCCCTATACACAACAGAGCTGAAATCAAACAACCCAAAAGAACTCGAAAAACAATGCTTTACTGCCCACTAGCATAACAAGAGCCTGTCACCTGGTTCTTATGTTATAATGACAAAACAAATCCTTCATAATTACACTCAGTCCCTGAAACCGTTCCCGAAGTGAGTGAAAAGAGAAACTGACCCTCACTCTTTGACCTCTGAGTCTCTTGTCAGTCTTCTATTGCTCATTTCACCCGCAAAAACAGTGCTTCACTTGAGACAAAATTCTTCTTGATGACAAACAGATGAATAAAAAGCTAGACCGAGAGTCAGCTGCCTATTTTTATCCCAGGAAAAACAGATCTGCTCTGGAGTTCATGGTTCACATGGGTTTCATTGTTGGTGTTGCCTTCATTAGAGAGTCACTGCCTCTTGGTTCTGGTCCCATCGCAGAGTGTTCCCTGGCACAAGAGATCCTGATTAATCTAATTTCAATTACAGTGACAATGAATAAAGCAGCAATAAAAAATGGCCGAACGGATCAATTAAAGAACACACAACAGCAATAGAAAGATGAACTGACAATGTTGAAACTGATAGGGTCAGCAGAAAGGTCCCTTCTGTATACGGAGGAGCCAAACCAACATGAATTAATTCAAAATCTCTTATTTTACACTGGCGATAGTTAAAACAAACGGATGAGGCCTTGGTTCCTCTCCCAGAGCGAATGCAAGCAAGAATTAGACAAGAACATTCCAAGCTAGTGAGAAAAGACTAAACTCGCCTGGAAACGTAGGATAGAGAAGGACAGGGATGATTCTCAGCAGGATTAGGACCTTACACAACCTCCTCCTCCAGAGAACCAGGAGACTAATGGCTAGCAGGAAGGACATGAAGACTGTCCACATACATTAACCGCTGTCAGCACCGACCCCCTGCTTCTCCTCTGAGAACTGCCCAACTCCAATTGAGGACATGATATAGTCGTACACATCCAAGTTCCCTTCAGTGCATTTTGTGAGCTTTGAGCTGTTTACATAAGTCTTCTTCAAAGGCAATTCATATGAAGATGTAATGCTTCAGCTTCAAAGTAGGCTAAGTTAAAATGCTGCCGAGTATTAAGGGTAGTAAGACAAGGTATAAGGTAAAATTCTCTAAGACATCCACTAAAATATCTTCAGGGTGAATGGAAAGAATAAAAAGAAAAGAAACAGTGATGCGATAGAAGTTAAAGGTCATGAAGTAATGGGTAAAGGTCAGTTTTTAACGAATATTATATAGTTTTGGGCAGAGTAAGATTTTTTTTTAAATGTAATGTCTTTTATTAAGGCGAGATACGGCAGGCAAAACATTGATTTTTCATGCAGTGATCAGTTTTGAGATTTTGGGCTAGTTTTCTCCTTTAATATGTGTTCTTTCAAGCTGCTATAAAGAAAACACTGAAAAATACATTAAGATGTTTATTTAATTATATTTTGTTTAGTTAGTAAATTTCTGCCGAATTTACCAAGAAGTTAGCAATCCATCCAAGCGGCAATATTCTAATCTGAAAAATGAAGCCTATACGCGGAAGTGCGGAAAAAAAAAACTGCAATACATCTAAAATCTGCTAGAGGGAGTTCCCAAAAGGGAGCAAATATCAATTGATCCCATGTTAAAAATTCCAACGCGTCATGCCCTGGTCTGTCTGTTTACTGAAGTCTGTCATGACCGGTATTGGCGTAAAGCTCTGAATCTCCTGTACAACACTGTGTAACACAAATGGTTTATATCAGAAACCAATCGTGAATGTCTAAAGGGTGATTTAAAGCTAATGACGATATTTCATCGGCTACTGCTGGTTTCTGCTAACGTGATTCGTTCAGACGCATCACATGGTGTACATACAATATATGCCTGCCATGTTATTAAATAATCACTTTTCATGAGTTTGAAATATCATACTGTATATTATTATTCCTAAAGGCCTGAGAGAGCATTTATTTTGCTTTTGAGCATTTGTTTTCCAATAGAAATGTATTTAATTCCCTACTTAAATCTTTAAATACCCTTTTCCTCAAAATTAGTATTTGTCGTTCTCCAGTACAAATATCACGGCCTATGTAGCACCTATTTACACAAAAACTTTCCAGTTATACACTTAGCATTCTGAAGATATTTTCAGAGGGATTTGTTAATTCCTGGCCTGATTTATGTGACATTTTAATAAAGAAAATATGGCGAAAATTGATTTTTTTAAGGGTGTAGACAGTATATTTTGATTTCCTAGGTAATATATCCTGAAATCCCTCTGAACTTTTTTTTTATCTTTTGTGTAAACAAAATGAAAAAATAATTTTACACCTGGCTTTATCATATGTTCAGATCTATCTACCGAAAATGAATGCAAAATTGCGCAAATTTAATGAGATAATGCATAATTTGCATTATTAATCATACAAACTTATTTATATACTTGTGTAAGTAATCAACTGAAGAAGTTTCATGGTGATATCTATTATTTAAAATTTTTACCCTATTCACCTGTAGTGTCTCGCCTTAAGCAAGGATGCATTAAATTGATCAAAAGTGACAGTAAATAAATTTATAATGTAACAAAAGGTTTTTATTTCAAATAAATGCTGTTTTTTTTTTTTTACTTTCTGCTCAAAGAATCTTGAAAAAAATGTATCACGGTATCCACAAAAACATTAAGCAGACAAACTGTTTTCAACATTGTTCAACAAATGTTTATTAGCATCAAATCATCATAAGAATTATTCTGAAGGATCATGTGACACTGAAGACTGGAGTAATGATGATGACAATTTAGTTTTGGTATAATAGAAATAAATAATATTTTAAAATATATTAAAATAGAAGGCAGAGGTAAATTTCAACTCTAATAATATTTCACAAGAATTCTGTATTTTTTTTAACAAATAATTGCAGCCTTGAGCATAAGACACTTTCAAAATCATCACAAAAATCTTACAGACTCCAAACTTTAATGGCATGCGTACATGCATACATAGTTTAAGGCATTATATCATTATTA